ACCAAACCATGGGAACACTGAAAAATGAAGCCTAAAAATGGACAACCTCTAAAAGGAATGCTAGAATGGCCTCAAAATGCATGAAAAGTGATAGTTTGGGATGCTCAAAGGATGCTCGCGAAGTTTTGTGACATTCTGACAAGTCTTGATATGATCAAAACAAAACTCAGTTCACAACTCTAGTTCCTATCATGCTAAAAAAGAGTGGTCATAAGTACAACCCCATTCTCGGAGCCTCAAAATGGTACTAGACCACCGCCATTGGATTCAGAACGATGAACCCCCAGGGAGCAAATTTGAGCTCAATCGAACCTCTCAGGACCTTTCTGGGCCCAAATTACCTCAAACGAGCAGGTTTTACACTATTGGGGTATGGCCTTAGCGAACCAGCTTCCAATCATGGAGATTGCGTTTTCACATCTCAAGATGATCTTCAAGCACTCATAACTCTCTCGTTTGGAATTGGAACAAGCTCAAAATTGGACACAAGTCAGATCTCGATGACTTGATCATTTTGATATATGGTACGCGTCATGATGAGACCCGAGCAAAAGATTTTGTAGAGAGAAGATGAGCTCGAAACCATAAAAATCAGGACTCTGACAAAGATATCCCATGCTTTGTGAAGCGATATCTCGAGATCCGTAATTCAGATCGACAAAAAATTGGGTTCATTACGACCACACCACGAAGGGCTACAAGTTTGGTACAGTTTTTACATTCAGTTAAAGGCTGGATAGCACAGATTTTAAGGTTGAAAATGGAAAGACTTTCCCGGTTGCCGGAAATCCATTTTCCGGCGACCTCCGAAATTTGGAAAAGGATCAAACGGAAACCAAATCGAACACAACTTGGTGCAAAGCGACTGTGATAGTTTTTTTTCTAATTTGCAATCAAGATAAAGACTTGGAACTACATTGATCGCATTGCATTGGCGGCCAAAGTTCATAACCTTGTCGGATTTTTACTACTCGGGAAAAGTTCGTTTTCAAGACAATCAAAAGACATCAAACTGTTCAGAATCAAGCAAGCATCAATTCTACGATGATAGATCGTCCGAATCACTGCCACAAGCATCCGAAAAGGCTCCCAAAGTCCGGCAATGGCGAGGGGCCCCTCAGAGAGAGATGGTTTCGTCATTAGCCCAAAAGATTTAAGAGGCATTTTGGTCATTTTTCCCAAATTCGGGATTTTATTGCAATTTCTTTTAATTGTAATTTTTAGCAATTTGGCTTAGGTTTGAGCATCCACCCATGTTTGGTAGGTCCTCTATATAAACAAGCTTAGGTCAATTGTAAAAGGGCTGGATCATTCGTTAATGAAATTAAAGCATGTGTTTGTGTCCACTTGTCTTTGCTTTTAACCCTTGGATCCAACGGCGAGGAGAGAGAAAACTTTTCAGAGAGAGAAAATACCCCTAGCCCATACGGGTTAGCCTACCCCATGGTCCGTGTGTACCAACCCTAACTCTCTCTCGTGCGTGAACAGCGAGGCTAAAAATGGTGTACTTAGGCTAGGTCGCTCCTAGAGCCCACTCTCTCTCCTCTCTTTCTCTTTTTCCTCCTTCCATTCTCTCTCTGTCTTTTTCCTTGCGGAGTGACCCAGAGCCGCAGCAAACCTGCGGCCCTGTCTCTCTCAACGCCTTTCACTTCTTTGTCATGTGTTAAGTCTCGAAACCGCAACCCCTACGGCCTCGTCGCTCGCCACCCCCTTTTCTACTTTCTTCCGCTGTGACCCAAAGCCGCAGCAAACCTGCGGCCCTGTACCCCTCAGCGCCCTTTCACTTATTAGTTGTGTTAAGTCTCAAAGCCATAACACCTATGGCCCCGTCGTTCGCTATGCTTTTCTCTTCATCATAGTAACCCGGAGCGGCAACAAACCCGCGGTCTTGTCATTCCCTCCTTCATTCTACCTTATTCCCCCTCGCATACCTACAGTGTCCTGCTATCTACCATACGCTCAATTCAATACCTCTCAGAGCTACCTTAAGAGTCTTAACGCTCAGATTGTTGCTTTGAGTTCCTCTTCGTACAGTCAAGTCGAGTCGCGAGAGATACATACTCCCTCGCCCTCTCTCACTCGAGTGGAGTCATCTTGAGCTGGTGAACAAGAGAATTTTGATTCGTGAGCCTCTCTGATTGCTAAAGTTGCGTAGCATTTGCGTGGATAGGAGGATCCTTGTTGCATTTTTCCCTTTATCCTTTCCTTGCTAGCCAGCCCCTGTTCGAGTGAACCATCACAGAGGAGTGCCTTCGAATTCATTTTGTAAGCTTAGAAACAAAAAGAAAGAGAGCACGTGTTGAAGTTTGAGGAGAGTTCGTGTCCAAACCGCACTGGCAGCCAGCTGGAGGGCTTCATAAATGTTCAAAGAGGGTGACCGCCCGGGTGTATCCTCAAACCCCAAAACGACGAAGTAGGCTCTAAAACACATCCTTGTCGAAAAATCTCTCTTGTTGGTTCCTATCTGCATAAAGGGTAGTACACGCGCACGTGCTAGAATGCGTACCACGCGCGGACCCTCCGCGGTTCTTTGAGAGAGGGTTTTCTCCCGCCAAGAAAATCAGGCCCTAACCAATATGATGTTATTCTTTTGGAAGGTCTTGTGACTTGTCAGTATTTCTTTTTGTGAAGCATTTGCATGTGTGGTGGGTTAGCCAGATTGTCTAGAAGCATGGAGCTTTCTCTCTCACATCCCTAAGATTTCTAGCTTCTAAGTTCTTACATATATCCCGCATTCGAAACTCCTCGAATCACTATTCATACTATTCCTGAAAGCATAGTTTCTCATGTGCTAGATTGAATATTTTGATATTGATTATTAGTGGTTTCTGGTTTTACCACTTTGGAACAAACTGTGAAAATCTTGGACTAAGTTCCAATAGTTGTCACCAACTTATTAAATGTTTTGCTCTATGCTTAAGTGTTGCAAGACAAGATGCCTCTTGTTTGAAAGTTTTGTGGTTTAGTTTTATGGTTTTTAAGTTCTTTTTAGGGATTCTAGGATTTTTTAACATTTTAGGATTTTAAGACTTATTTAAAAGTAGTTAGAGTGCTTAATGAATTATTTGTTTTATCAAGGGTAAAAATATCATTATGAATTTTGTCTTAATTAGGGCTTCAATTTCTATTAGAATTAGGATTTTTTGGGCTTTAAGTAAGGTCTTTTATTATAAATAAAGGTCTATGTAGAGAATTTAGCATAGAGAGTTCGGTTCAAATCTTTTTCTGGTTTAACCAATGCAGAGCCATTGAAGCCTTGCTTGTAGGCTTCCACTTCAATTTTCCAATCAATATATTATTGGATTTTATTCTCTATGATATTCTTCTACATCAATTGGTATCAAAGCCAAGTTGTTTCAACCAACAATGCAGTGAACTATAGCCAAGTCTAGGGTTTGCTGATTTCAGCTTAGAGTTTGCCAATACCAGCCTAGATCTTTATGATATCAGCTAGATTTGATTGATTCTTTGCCTAGGGTTTGTGATTTCGGTGAAGCCATTGCATTGAGAAGGGGCTATAGAAGGGGGGTTTCATAGAGCCCACCTGTGATCCTGGAGATGAAGAAATGAAATACCTCAGAAGGCAAGATTCAGCCAGCTAGTGAGCAATCAATCATGAGCAAGACGTTGATCTTTTCACCCAAGAAGATGTTCATCATCGTGCTCCACATGTGGAGTCGAGTAGGGCAGTGATAGAAAGCCAGGACATGGGGTGCATCACTTTAGGGATGTCGATTTGAAGGTGGACATTCCTGATTTTGATGTAGATTGTATCCAAAATTAAAAATTTGTATTTTGGGATACGTCACCAATCTTCGGCGCATGCTCTGATGAAGATCATGATTTTGTAGGAGATCCAATCTGCAGTGAATAAGATTTTGTAGTTGAACCGATCTTTGACAAAGAAAAAGATGAATAACTCTAAGGAGAATCAATAGAGGTGAAGTTGTTGGTTTTACCATCAAATCTAATGCTCATTTCAAAGATGCTCCCTTGGCTTGTTCTAGGGCTGAGCAAAAGCAATTTCAGCAGAGTTATATGGCCAAACACGTATATATGATGGTTATTCCATTTACATATAATAACCATTTCCTCGAGGGTTTCTCAAAAGTATTTATGAATACATCAACTGATTTCAAAGCCCCAATCTCAATGTATGATCATTGTGTTTTATCTAGGCCTATTAACCCACAAGTCCCAATGTGTTGTTTACAATGTTCGGGTTGAAGAAGATGGTAGGCTAATAAAAGAATTCCTTTAAGCCCATTTCAAAACTTGATGACAAGTTTTCTCCAATTAGGGGAGATTGATATGGGACAAGATGCCTCTTGCTTTTGAATTTTTCTTACTAAATTTTATGGGTGTTTTTTTGAAGTTTTGAGGTTTATTTTTAGGGATTCTGGGTTCTTTTTTATATTTTTGGGATTTTAGGAGTTTAGAAAAGTAGTTATAGTGCTTAGTGAAATTATTTTTTTATCAAGGATGAAAATGTCATTATAAATTTCGTTTTAATTAGGGCTTCCATTTCCATTAGATTTAGGAATTCTTGGGCTCTATGTGAAGCCTTTTATTATAAATGGAGGTCTATGTAGAGAATTTAGCATGAAGAGTTTCGTTTTGAGATCTTTTTTCTGGTTTAACTAATGGATTGCCATTAAGCCTCACTTTTTGGCTTCCTCTTTAATTTTCCAATCAATAGATTATTGGATTTTCTTCTGATATCTTCCTCTAAATGATTAAGTCACTTTTCCTTAATTAATTTTAGTGGCCATTGTTTATATTTCTCTTTTACTTTCAGATCTATCTATACAACTTAATTGTATTTAAGTGACTGAATTATGCCAAAAGGGATTGTGTTATTTTATGAGCTACTCAATGTATCCTTAAAGTTTTTTTTTTGTTTTGAAAATGACGGAATTCATGGTTAGTTACCTCAACAGTCTCTCTCTCTCTTTCTAAAATGTGTGTGCACGCATATGCCTGTGATGACTGGTTGACAGGTTGAATGTGAGAAGCTAAGCAATCGTGTGGAAAATCTGACAGAGGAAAAACAGGCACTTGAAGCAGAATTAGAGCACCTACAGGAGGAGTGTGATAGATTTGCTGAAGAAAACAGTTCTCTCAATGTAAGTGTCCACACACATATTTAGATGGCTCTAATCTACCTAGTGATGGCTTTTCTTGCCATATGGGTCATGTTCAATCAAGATTTCCTTTGCATTTCTGCTCACTTTTAGCTCCCTTAAAACAATCAAACTGCGAAATCAAGTGAAACTCCTGTTTGGATGTCTATGCACTAGTGGTAATTCATTTTTTCAATAAAGATAATCCTGAAAACGAGTTATATGTTATTTGGTAGTGTACCTCATAAAGTTATTTGAGATAAATTTATAGATATTTTATTTTTATCTTTTTAAAAAGTTGTTTTACTTAATCAAAATAATTTCTTGAACATCACAAGTTCTTGGCAAATAACAGCTAAAATAGCTGGAAATCACTTAAAGTTGAATATTTAAATAATAAATTATTCATTGTACAAAATACATACCAAATGGCTCACAAAATAATACTATCCATAGTGTATTAATTTTAGATAGTATATTCCAGATTAAATTAACTGTCATTCAAAGGGGCCCTAAAGATTTACATCTCTCTCTCTTGTGGGTTTCCAGGAGATGCTTAAGCAGCAGCAGGGGCAGAGCTCGTCCAGTAGTGAGTGACATGATCAGCTAAATTACGATAAAATAGACAACATAGAAAGGGCTCACTAACTGAAGGTATATACATACCCTGACGTTAAACACACCCCATTTGTTGGAAGGCAATTTCAGTAACAGGAAGTCCTTGACTTCTGCCATTCTCATTTTGGATGGCAAATGAGAAGAGGTTTTTTCTTTTACTCACGGGGCGCTTTCTACGAGGAAGACAAAAGAGGAGAAAGCAGAAGTGAGGTTGCTGCAAATTTTTTTACATGCAAAATACCTCATACGAGTCTCATATAAGCAAATATTATGTTGCAGTTGAAAATATATGCATATTCCTTTTCTCTTTCGCTATCATCCTTTTCGGTAATGCATGTAACTGATGTGTTTGTTTAGAGAAAGAAAATTGAATAGAGGATTACAATAGGGATGTTCCAAATCTTTGATCATCTACATGATGTCTTTACGTTTTTCTTGTGTTGGCATATGCAAGTATTATATCATAATAATACTATTGGGAGTCCTTTTGGAAGTTGTTTTAATCATTAATTCAAGATTGTTACATTTTCACCATACCCATTTTTCTGCCTCTCTCTCTCTCACACACGGGCATGTGCATGTGCACGAGCTATATGACTGCATTTGCAGCCACTGTGCATGTTTTTTCCAGCAGTCATCGAAATTGTATACTGGAGGATTGGACCTTACTTTGTGAGCTTATTTAGCCGAGATATTGGATTATGTTCACCTTGTATATGACCCCTAGGATTATGAAATTAGGATTATTATGCTTATGTCCCCACCCAAAACAATAATAATAATAATAATGATAATAATAATAATAATAAAGGCAAAAAAGAAAGAAGGCATGGTGGATTTGAGGACAAAGGAAATCCCTGTAGCCATATGTTACAAGGATTTTTCAACAAAGGTTTGGAGTCCCATACCCGTGTCGGACCCTTATGGCCACGCAATACGCATTCTTTGATTCTTGTTATACGGATTCTTTGATTCTTCAACTTCAAGAATATTGGGAAGTGGAAGTAGTTGTTTTTGCTATCAATCACATAAATAAAATTACAATTTATTTAATTTTAGTCCTGCATTCGTTAACAAGCGCTAGACTCTTCCGTTTTTCAATAAATTGTCATACTCTCTGCATTCAATAATATATATATATGAATATGCTAGGGTCAGCCCACTAGTTGATGTAATAGTATTAAGCCTAAGGGTCCTGATTGAATTTGAGTCAATCTAATGGTCAAGATTGTATTTCAATAATATAATTTTAATATTTTTTTATAAAAATCCAAATAACATAAAATTTGGAGCATTAACTCTTCTCATCAAGGTGTATTTAATAAAAGCATTAAAAAATAATTCACATAAAAAATAAATTGATAAAAATACCCTTGAAATTTTTTAGGGGTATTTTGGTTAATTTATTTTATGCGA